TATCCGCAATACGTCAGTGCCTTATTATTTAAATTCTCTCCTCTGTGGGGTGTCACCAGCAACCAGCAACCGAGTTTTCGGATGTTTTTGTTTGATTTAAAGGCAAAGGATTCTCTAGCTGTAAACTCTATGGTTGCTTGTTGAAACCGTTAGTTATTAAATTAAACTGTGGATTGGAAACTGCTTATTTTTTTATGATAATTATCATAGCTCTAGAAGTCTCTAGATACCCTCACTAATTCCTGACTACTGCGGCCCCTAGATGTTTTCATCCGACGCACTGGACCAGTGTGCATCTCAACTATACCTGGTGCATTACATCTGTGGCCACTTACCATGGATCTTGAAGGATTTTGACAGAAATATCAATACGCAACAAAACACAACTGAAACAAATGAAACCATGAAAAGACCGGAAAAAAAGTGAAAACCCTCCAAACATCTCCAAACACTTGTTTGTACTTTGTCATTAACGTTCCCATTTGTGATGGTGTTTTCAGAGTATTGACGGTCTTCTCATTTGCCCCTAATATTTGGGCGGCTCTGGTTTGTGGGGTTTGTCGAGTTGGTATATTATCCCAAAAGGTTTAATATGGTTTAATACTTCTATTAACTTCTTTCTATCAGTCTATGGTAATATAAAATAAACACTACAATATACATGGCCTTTTTGAAAATTTATAGAACCATATAGAATCAGTTTTTGGAGGCCAAGTAAAAACAGGGGGTTGCAATAACGAACCCGATGAACTGGTGGGTTGACACGTCGAAGGCGTTAATTCCACCTCAAAGCCTCAAAGTGTCCGATAATCTTGCTCCCTGCGACGATACTTAATAAATTTGATTGATTTGATTAAATTAATGACTAACTGATTATGTGGCGTGGAGATGTTTGGGACTCCATGAAGCATCACGAAGCAATGCTACCATGTTTGTCCACCTTACCCGTGGACCGAGGGTAGTGGGAGATGCTTTTGATGCAATCGTGGACGGGGCCTGTGAGTTGTTTTCCTGGCCTTTCCGACGAGGACGAGGACTGAATCCAGGGAAATTGTTGTGGCACACGCAGAGCTCATCTCATGAAGGGTAGTGAATGGTACCCTAGGGTTTTCACAAGGACAAACGTCTGACATGTTTTTCACTGGGAAATCAATAGTAAAATCGGCTAATTACAAATGATAGATGTGGGTTTTCCACATCTATATAATATACATTAGCTGAAGGGCAATGTAACGTTACTGGTGGCAATAAGTGGAGGTGGCAGTTGTAGATATATTTAACGGGATCTAGTATATATATATATATATATATATATGGCGGCAAGTCAAAATAGGAGGTCCGGAACAAGCTCCGGGACCACACCCGTTCCATACCCCCGTCCCATACCCCCGTTCCATACCTCCTTGAAGGATCCGTTCCATACCTCTGTTCCATACCTCTGTTCCATACCTCTGATCCATACGTTTATATATATAAATATATATATATATGTGTAATTATAATATATAATTATATAAATATATATATATATATATTTACAATTACATATATATATATATATATTTGATTATGTGCAATCTGATTTTACATTTGTACGCACATATATGAGCGCACATACATACATGAGTGCATACATGCATGAATATGTTTACTATGCCCAAGCCCTGTGATTGTGTTGGCAAGTCTGTGCCTGCAGCACTTACAGCTGCTACCTACTTTGTTGTGAGATGGTAGGGATGTGCTTGGCTGCTGCCAGCTGGCAGTCTAAGAATGGATTGCTTGTAACCCTCCCTCCCTCTCAACCTGTGGCAGGTTTGTGCCTGCACCACTTAAAGTTGCTGCAGGCTGTGGCACAGCTGTGGTGTTTGATTGTAGAGATGCGCTTGGCTGCTGCCAGCTGGCAGTCTAAGAATTGCTTGCTGCGCTATTCTCGCTCCAAACTGCGAATTTTGATAAAGATGTGCTGCGTGGTGGCAGTGCTGTGCTGGAGTGGGCCGTTTCGTTCCAGACCCCGTTCCATACCGTTCCATACCCGTTCCAGACCTGGACCACCCATGTACCACCCCTGACCCACTGGTGAACACATGGCAGGTTCTCACATGGACTGCTCGTAAGCCATCCTTTGCGTGTGGGTTATGGGAGGGTAGAGTCTTGCCATGCAGGGACACAATCTACCCCATACGGACCTCTGAGTTTTAAGAGTAGGAGGTGGGACCTGCGTGACAGGTCTGAAGCTGAGTCGACAGCTTCACATGGTAGCCAGTGGGTGACACTGGCTACCGGTCGTGTCGTATCTAGTGCACGAGCACTGGCCATGCAAGGCAAACCTGCGTTGAACAGGTGTACAACAAGGATGTCGTGCAGATGAGGAGTAGCTTCAACGTGCATATCCTTGAGATGTATATTATATATGTATACATATAATGTATATATATATATATTTATTTATTTATTTATGTATAGCCTATATATTTCATCACACTCCAAAGGTCCGGAACAA